ATCCACCACTGAGGGTAGTTTCTTGTTTTTTTATTTGGTATTTTTCACGACGTTTCCTATTTATTTCATTCCTTTGTTTCGCATACCGTGCTCTTTCCCTTTCTCGTTTACGTTGCTTAGCATCGTCAGCTTGTGTCTGTGAATTGGATACACTCTCACAACCTGGTCCATTATAGGTATCATGGATCAATACATAATGAATGCAAATTATTGTTGGTCCAAAGTAAATTCATATCCATATGTATATCAGCAGTTACCTGAATTGGTGGTGTTTGTCAAGTTTCCTAATGGAGTGCGACCATCGTTATTTTCCACTGGATCCATATAGAAGATATTGGCTAAAAAAGTTTATAAAGAAGATTATAGGTTAGCCTAAATAAGTTCACATAAACCTGTAGCAGCACATAAGCTGAACAAGGAAAGATAAAAAAAAACATGTGCTGGGCATGTCAATATTGTTGTAATACTGCTCCAATCTTCAAAGATAAGTGAGACCATAGAATATCTGTCCTTTTATTTTGCATAAAGAAAATTTGTAGGTATCATGTTTTTTGTTCTTGCATAAAGAGTACCTTATGGGAAGGACACAACTCGCTGCTGGTTAACTCCTAAGATGCAATAAAAGCAAGGCAATTATAATCAAGTTTGACATTTTTTTTACCCAGAGTCTTTACTGAAATTTTTTCAAAGGTCAAAATACATGTCACCAGCAATTGCTACCAATACTATGAGCATACTAATTAGGATGAATAACTGCATATACAGAAGAGCCCATATTGATTATTACGATTCACTAAATGCAAGTTGTAATTGCTCACAACCTATATTGATGCACAGCAGGATCTTTATGCCTATTTCATTAGCTTAGAAATTATAAAACTGTAAGAAGCCACGCTATATAATCATGTAAAGCTCTATGGATAGGAAATCATGCTCCTGCTGCCCTGGACATCACATGCATGAACTAAAGAAATACCAAAGTAAAACAAAAAAAACAAATTTGCTAGCATCAATGGAAGCTTCGGCCAGGACAGTTTACTCTCCTGTGGAAACAAAGATACAAAACTGTTCTATAACCACATGAACATGCTACCTTCCATCTAGAAACTGGTCATGCAAACTGCTCTCCGTGCAAGATTCTAGAAGGCAATTTGCTACACCAGTCTGCAGTGAGTTTTTTTCATAGCATATAATCTGTAGACAAATATATCAATAGGAAAATATTTTATAAAGCATTTCAAACATCTGGATAATGATAACATTCTGATTTATATCTTAGCTTAGACCTAAATAAAAAGACAAATTGAGGGGTAGTTTTACCTGTAACTCTGAAGCCTGAACATAGAAACATAGTTCTGTGCTTCTAATTTGTCGGTCTCTTCTACCTTTCACTGTTATCCTGTAGCATACAAACGAGTTAAGGATGAATACCAAGGTACTAATTAGAGTACTAATTGCATGAGAAAAACTTGTGGTTTCTGACTCCAAGAAAATAGAAAAAAAAGCACTGATGCACTTGCATTTTAGGCAAATTTAGATCTTATATCATCTGAGTTTGGTTTAAGTAGTGCAATGGTGTAAGTAGCTAGGCATGTATTCATGAAGATTTCAGTCAGAAAGTTGGTGACACATTCCTATCTACATGATTATTGTCAGAACAATTAAGTATGGGAAAAAGTCTACTTAACCCCCACCTTTCATACTTGGTCTACTTCACCCCCCCAACTATGAAACCGTCTGTTTTATCCCCTGAACTTTCTAAAACCGTCTATTTTTTTATTTATTTTCGGTGAATTTTTGAAAAATCATAGTAAATCATAGAAAAATCATAAAATGAAAAATCTAATTTTGTTGGACTTCACATGAGTAGATCTACATAGTGAATATATAATACGGTATGCTTTAGTACAAAAGTTTTACTGTAGCCTTAGATTAATTGGGAAATCTAATTTTGTCTGTAATTAATTGGAATAATTCATAGCTGCAGCTTCTATGGTCCAATTATGGTGAAATTTTTATGGTACGCTAATTATTGTATGCTTGAACTATAGTAAAAATTTCGTACTCATTGGACTATGTATAACTTAGTTATAGATAAATTCTAATTAATTACAGACAAAATTGGATTTTCCAATTAATCTAAAGCTAAAAAAAAATTTGTACTAAAGCATACCGTATTATATATTCACTGTGTAGATCTACTCATGTGGAGTCCAATAAAATTAGATTTTTCATTTTATGATTTTTCTATGATTAACTATGATTTTTCAAAAATTCACCGAAAATAAATAAAAAAAATCAAAACCAATGTTACTGTAGCAACCTGTTGTTACTGTAACAAACCGCCGCTGAAAACCGCCTAGGGGTAAAATAGACGATTTTAGAAAGTTCAGGGGGTAAAACAGACGGTTTCATAGTTGGGGGGTGAAGTAGACCAAGTATGAAAGGTAAGGGGTTAAGTAGACTTTTTCCATTAAGTATGCAAAGGGTAATTGAATGTTGCATTTTTCAAATACAGGAATGGACAGAACGAATTAAAATTATCAAATACATGATGATCCATATCATTTTCAGGGGTTAGCAAAATCGCTATCAAATATATGGCATGTGAATTTAGTTTCAGTCTTGAGAATATTGGTTAGCAAGCAACGATTCACCCAACTCATAGTTCAGGTTGTCAACGATTCAGAGTTCGTGTTGTACTCTTACTAACATGAGTTCAGAGATCTTAGTGCTACACATTGCCTTCACAAAGATACCCTCATATACAGAAAATGTGATGCCTGCAATTTGCTCAGAGAAGTATAGTTCCTTCTAGATGGATTCTCTGGAGAAATTAACTACATTGCCTGATGCATATATATAGTGAGCTGGTTGTGAATAAAAAAGCCATATTGCACACTTACAGCTCACTGGCATGGTTCATGCTTGCCACTTTGGATGCACGACAATGCTAAAGATTTTATAGCCTGTTATACCACCTATTAGTGTTACCAGTAACAAAGGAAGGTTGCTCTTGATGAACACATGCAAAGAAAGTCCACTCATTGTTCTGAACTTCTGATGCTTGGGGTTTCAGAGTTGTGTTGGCATTGGGGCTTGGCACCGTTAATGGAGGCATCACCAATGATTTTTTTAGTCTATTATACTGCCTCTCTTGGTGTTACCGGTAACAAACAAATATGATTATAGGCAAAAGAAAAATGAGCTCAATGTAGTGGACTGCTTAGATTTGTTTGGGAATACAGCTAGCAAGGTATTTTTGTTTCCAGTAAGCTTTTAAGATCACATAGAAGTTTGCATTGAGTTTGACACATTTTTCAAATACAGGAATGGACAGAACAAATTAACATTATCAAAAGTGAGTTGGTTGTGGATAAAAAAGCCATATCGCACACTTACAGCTCACTGAGTTGGCCGTATCTCTGAAATACAGGATAGTTGCTAGTAGCTTTTCTTTTATGCATATATATACTGAGTACACAACAATTGTCGCTTCTAGCCAAAAACATTTTTCCCTATTCTTACCATACTTTCTTCTATGGTTTGCCTCGCCTTGATTATTGTTGGCTTCTAAACAACATGTTTGGAAAGAATGCTGTTTTCATTTACGATTTTTAGCAGGACATGTGTGGAAGAATGTTCTGAAGTGTAGAACATGGAGTGGTGCTCAATTGGCATCTGCTAAAGAATAATCTTTAGTGTATAACATGGACTGGTGCTTCACTGTTTGATTTACGATTTGTGGGCATATTAAGAGTTGCACACTGGATGATTGGCATCCGCTGCAAAACCGGAGCAGTCAAAGAAAGAAAAACGAAGAAACAGGGGGCACCTTCTCGTTGGACATGGAGGTGAGCGCACGGACCGGCTATGCCACCGGGGCGTCGCGCTGCCTCCGGCGTCGGGATGCCGTGCCGCCTCTGCAGCTGTGACGCCGCTCTACCGGGAATGTGGCCTCGTGGGGCAGACGGCACCGCGTTCTCGAATGCCGGCAGCTGCCGCGCCTCGCCGCCGTCGCTCCGTGTCGTGAGGAAGAGCCGCGCGCGCGCCGCCTTGCCCTTGCTTCCGGAGCTGACGCTCGGAGTCGTGGGGAGTCACCGAGGATTGGTCGTGGCGAGGGGGAGGGAAACTAAATCGAGGCACGATCTCGCGAGGGATGGAGGCTGTTTGTCCGGGGGAGCGTGCCGTGCATGCACCGGGGAATCGAGCGAGCGGGATTGATTGGCCGGGTGCGGGGGAGCGGGCGAGCGGGATTGATTGGCCGATTCCACCGCGCTTCTGGGTCCATCGCACTGGATTGGAGGCCGACGGTGCGGCGTTTTTTTTGACCATGCGTGAATTTGTTTGACCGAGCGCATTTGTTGCCGGGTGAACCATCGCGGTGGGTGTCTTTCGTCTGCCGTGAACGATTGTTCTGGCAATGTTTTAGTTGTAGAGATAATATATCAGTTACTCATCAGATCTGTCATCCTCTTCCATCAGGCTTATTAGTTTACAACGCATGCATATAAATCGCGTTGTAAAAAAAATGCTCGTAATAATAATCAGACGAGCACGTACGCTGCAATCTCGACCGCATCCGCCTACTAGTCTACTGTACATATACTGCGCATCGTTGGACGCGAAGGATTTCCCAGGACGCGATACACAGAGGGAAAGCCGCGCCATTGCCGGTTTCAGCTCGCATCGGACGCCGATCGAGGGGTCCCCGCGTCCCGGCCGGGCCCCGCCGCCTGCGTCCTGCTGCCTCTCAGCCTCTCCCGATCGGGCTCGCGTCGGGCCCGTTGGATGCTGCCGTATCGTCGTTGCTTGCTGGCCTCGTCCTTGCACGCCATATATACATGCTCGCCATTCGTCCCCTGGCACTGGCGCCAGACGATCGAGACGCAGCGCTGCTAGTGCTAGCTAGCTCCACACGAGTGTGCGTACAAGACCTGTGTAGTCGTCAGTTTTTGGACATCGGAGGGAGTTGCATTGGTTGTTCTCTGACCACCGGGATGGATCCTGCTGTCAGTGCTGGTACGTGGTGAGCTCCATCTCGTCCTGTAGCGCCTAGCGCCTCGCCATCCCTGTTTGGTTGTTGCTGATCGTCGACTACGAACTCCATCTATCCACCCCTCCCTTCGATCTCGATGGTTGCTTTAATTAATTCGGTGCTGCATGCTCGATCAGGTCTGCCAGCTGCAGCAGCACTGTCGGTTTCGGTTCCCGCGGAGGCGGCGGCGGGAGCAGCAGCACGGTCGGCGGCGTGGACACAGGTGACGCGCGTGACCGTGACGTGGGCGGGGACATCAGGCGCAGGTGGCGCGCGTCGTGTGACGTGGGCGGCGGCCCTATTACTCCTGGGATGCGCCGCCGCGGGGCTCGCCCTGGCCGCGGCCGACTCCCGCCTGCTGGAGCTGGTACGTGCGAGTACGACGTTCGCTTGTCAACTGATACGGCTACATACACTCCTTCATTCGCCTTCATGTGAAATTTCTGCATTCTAAACCGTTCTTGGGCTAGCTTAATTGGCTCTTGCCTCATCTTGGGGTGAAATTGAAAAGCAGCTTCTTCAATTCTTGTCGCATGCATCGACCAAGGACGGTGACCATGCATGTTTATGTATTTGCCATTGCCACTGCAGGGGCCCTGCGCCCATGCTGATCAAGTGGCGGCCCTGCGCACGGCGTCGCAGCGTCTGCTTCTGGCCGCCTCCGCGCAGGTGCTCGCGGCCACCATGGGCGTCCTCGTGCCGGCGCGGCCGGTCGCCGTCTTCGCCTACATCGTGGAATGGCTCACCGCCGGACCCGCCACCGACGTCCTCTGGATGCTCGTCGCCTGCCACGACAGCACTGCCCACGATGAGCTCTCCTTCCACTACCGCCTCTTCCGCTTCCTGCTGTGTGCGGCGCTTGCCGTGGGGACCTTCGTCTCGGTCTGGTAAGACCATCGTCCACGTACGCCAACGTCGGGTCTCCTGGCTCCAGCAGCCCGGCCACCGGCCACGCAAGAAATTAATAATCGGACCTAGCTAGCTACTCGTTCGTGCTATCGCATGCATGCATGCACCATCCTGGAGCTCGAGTGCTAATCAGTCTAAACATCATATATAGATCGTCCACTGTCTGTCGCTTATATCTAGCGTGTCAATTGTTGGCCTACCTAGCCTAGTAGGTCTCGAAAGTTACTTTATTTAAGGATTATATATATATATATATATATATATATATATACATATACATATATATATATATGGAGTCCTGCTATGATTTACTATCAACATATAGTAGTATTTGGTACTGCTTGGTTGCTGTGTGTTGCGGCGTTAAAGAATGACATAGTTTTCATCTTCTAGCTGCACTACATTACAACACCAAGATTAGTAATGGACGGTCTGACACTAAAAGCGGCTACAGCGACAGACAATCTGACGCTAAAAAGTTATAGCGATAGACTTATTTTGTAGCTGTAAGTCCTATATATATAAATATATGGTTCTCATGGAGTCCTGCTGCCCTGAATTTTTTATCGAAGATAGTAGTGCTACTCTTTAGCGACAGATAGTTTGCTCTGTGTTGCGGCGTTAATTAATGACATGGTTTTCATCTTCTAGCTGAGTGAAGCAAATTTGAAGTTTAAATCTTTTTATGTGAAACTGATGGTTCATCGAGATCATTTAAATGCGTTTTAAAAAATAAAAGGCCATTTGGTTGTAAATTTATACAAAAGTAACATCATTGTGCATATTTCTCATACAAATAGATTCATTCATAAACATGAAACATAGATCCATGATCAGATAAAGTTAATATGCTTCAGTATGATGTATTATTATAAAAGTAGGAATCACTCCATTTTAATGCATATAAACACCGCTGAGTGAAGCAAATACCATTGCTGACACGTCTTGTGCCATGTGAAATATCTCATCATCAACTGCAATGCAATCCTCGTTGTATTTGTTTCTTCAGATCATTTAGGGTTTAGGGCATGCATGACACACCCCTCTCACACTCTCTCGATCAGGACTACTATATAGTATCTTCAGAAGAACAGGGGAAGAGAGAGAGACATGACCGAAATGATTCACATACTCTAAATTTCAATCAATGCCCTGTTTCGTTCGAAATAATCGAAGAGTACAGTACTGCATATATTCTAGATCAGGCAGTGTTGTCAGTCGTCACCGGGGGTGTCTGGTTCAGCCAGGAGCTCATAAATCTACTCCCATTTAGACTCATTTCGCTTCGCTAAAAAGCCATAACTGAAAGTACTGATTGTTTGATTTGTTGTGAGAGAAAAACACTGTTCATTTACTTAAATAGTATAGCTCATAAGACAAACGAATAGTATCTTAGTCTCATTTAATTACTTTTTACTCAAACATTATGACTAAATGACTAGCAAACTCTAGAGTGACTGGATGAGACTAAAGCAAGGCCGCCGTGTGTCCAGAGCAGAGAGGCCTCCAGGGTCAGGCTGCAGGCGCACTCGCCATATGTAGCTAGCTAGCACATATCACATGCTCTTCCTTGCCAGTTATAGCACACAGAAATACTAGTGGTTGCGTGGTTGGTCATCCGTCATTCTCACTCTCACTGGTTTTACGGTCCTGCACGGTCGGCGATGCGTATTATTATCTGCCATGGCATTTGTTCATTTTTTTTTCATCCAGCAGCTACTAGTGTCGCACGTGAATAGTTTTTCGTCCGTCCGCATCTATTGGTACAATTCGAGTAGATCACACCGGACTAATTATCCAGCATGAAATAAATATGGACAATAGATAATCTCAGGAATCAATAGATAAGTAGTATGGGAAAATGTGGACAAGTAAAAATAATATTCATGTGCAAGTGTAATTAGAGATTGCTCATCTTCTCAATTGCATAACAGCAACCGCGTGTCATGTAAATGCTGCACAAATTTTCCAAACTAAAACTGAATTCTCTAACCCAAATTTTCGTTTTCAAATTTTATACAAAATTCCTTCGTTCCAAATGGCATCTTTTTCTCGATGATTGTCCATGCATCCAGACCACACAATTTCATCACAAAGATAAGATGACACAAGAAAATTATAGAGCAATTACATCTGAATCTGATGCATGCGTTCCAAACGGCATCTTTTTCTCAATGATTGTCCATGCATCCAGACCACACAATTTCATCACAAAGATAAGATGACACAAGAAAATTATAGAGCAATTACATCTGAATCTGAATGCACTTCACATAGTAGCATCCCTCTCCCCTTTGACGCCTATACACACGTAGTACACGTACTCTCGGGCTGTCAAGAATCGGAGCCGTGCAAGGCGGGAGCGTCGTGCTGCTGCTGCGGCTGCTGGTACATGGCGAACGAGCTCGACCGCGACACAGGCCGGGAATAGCTCGATCGGCGGAAGCTGCCGGCGGCGATCTCGTCGGCGGGATCGACGGGGTCGCCGAACTCCGCCTCCCGCTCCCCGGGGATCCTGCACTTCTCCCCGAGGATGATGCCCTTCTTCCACAGCGTGTCCTCCGACTCCACCTTGTGATGGTGGTCCTTGTGCTCCCGCCGGCTCAGCCGCAGCTTGTCCGGGATGTTCATGCTCAGTTTCTTGCTCACGCTGATGGACAGCCGCCGCTTCGACGTCGACGACGGCAGCGCCACCGGGTCGATGGCGCCGTGCGTCGCCAGCTCCGGCGACAGCCTCACCACCGCCACCTCCGCCACCTCCCCGGCGCCAGCCTCCTGGCTGCCGCCGCCGCTGCCGCCGGAGACGGAGCCCGTCCCGGCCGGTTGGTCCGATGCGGCCGGGTCTGCATTGGTGGCCGGCTTTGGCTTGCGGCCGCACGCCGAGCACATGGACGACGTGAGCGCGACGGTGGCGGCCACGCACGCCACGAAGAAGGACAACGCGACGGCGTCGTGGCCCAAGAGCAGCTCGCCGTCCGCTGGCGGCGGCGGCGGCAGCCACCTTACCATTGTCACCGGCGGGATACCGGCGACGGGAGAGAGTTATTTCTCTGCCCGGAAGAGGAATGAGGCAAGCTGCTCGTCGGAAGCTTCTATTCCCGCGGGGCGGGGAGAACCTCCCGTTTCCAAATTGGAAACTGGAGAGGGGCCTCCAAATTGGAAACTGGAGAGGGGCCGGTTCGGCTTCAGGTTGTGTGGCTCTGGAATAATACTTCCCCTGTTCTTAACTGGGACAAGCTAATTTTAGAGGACAAATGTTCTAGCACAAATTTGGGCAATGCCTGCCTGTGTAAACCTCCAGCAGCCCAGATAAACTTGACAGTAAAACACAGCTAGATTATGCGTAGCCAATAATCTAATTTACTGATGTAACAAGTTGTTTTGTTTTACAGAGTATCAAGACACCAACAACCAATTGGGACTCTAATAGCCTGGTAAAACTATCATCAGAGTCCAGTTCTTCTCATAGTGTACACCGAAAATAACAGAAAAAGAATTGCACACGTTTATGTAGCTAAAGTCTCTAACAAAAGCTCTGGATGCGTTGCTGCAACTTTATCTTCCGAAAATCATCTAAAACTTTGCTCTAGGAGATGTGGGAGATGGGTGGAATTACTGAACTGATTCAACAATGCTGTGGTCTTCAGAGTTCAGTTTTGCTTTTGCTGGATTTGGTGGGCTTCTTTGCCCCTTTCCACCATTTCTTTACCACATTGGACACTTTGTTTACATGCCCTTTCAACTTTTTACTGGTATCCTTCAACTGTTGCACGACTTGCTGTTTCAAATCTTTCTTTTGAGAACCCTTGTCTTTCAGAGCTTTTCCCTGCACGAGTAGGTGCGATTAGTGTTTAACTTGGAATGGAAATCTTCACTCAAATCTTTTGAATCATTACCAAGTTCTTTGGGAAGTTGTCATCTTCGTCTTCATCATCCTCATCGTCATCGTCTTCAGTACCAAAGTTATTTTTCATCAGATCGTCCCTGGAGTACATCTTCATGCTTGGAGCTCCCGGCATACCCTGTCATCACCCATAAGTAGCATTTTTTAGTATATTGGATCCACTTGGATAAAGTTAAAACTGGCTGAAGTTAAAGTATCTACCTCCATTGATCTCAATATCTTTTCCATCTCAGCATCTTTTGATGGCTTCCTTGCAAATGGTTCCCCAGGGACTCGATCCTGTAAAATTCATAATGATGTCTCTGAATGAGATGTCGGTACTTATCTTGAGTTCTTGACACTCATGTCCTAAAGCCTCACAGGCTACTATACTTCTATCAGTTTGTAGCTATGTTTTACAAGTGAAACGGGCATGTAACAAGTATAGCTATAATGAAATTCAAAATCATGCAATGCCATACTTCAAAAGATAACATGCAAATACTTTGTTAAGTCTTTGATTCTATCACTTCATATCATAAAGTTCATAACAACTTTTGCTTTCCCAGTTGGGGGAAAAAGAGTCTTGCAACATAGTACCACATTTTTCACCAAAGCACTTCAACATATTAGTCAGAAAACAACTGAATTCACTGCAGACTACATAATAAATGTGATTCAGTTTCATTAGGTGCAGCTTGATAATATTATATATGAACACTTAACAGTGTATTGTCAAACTAAAACAGATCTTGACACCAAAGCATCCTACTTGTGTCTTTATTAGGAAATCTAGCACCTAAAGCTCAAAGTCAGACAAGGAAGGCTCCAAGGACTCACTTTTGGAACTGGTGGTGGGTCCTTGGCACACGCTTTCGAAAGATCTTTGCAGAGAAATTTCATCAGCTGATCAACTGAGGGGTTATTTTTGTAGACAAACTCAGCAACATCAGTATCAGCATATCCTATCACCTGCAATGAATTCGATTCAGAAAAATTCAACAAGACAATCATGTCGTACGCGATCGTAAATTTCTCAGCATTTTTCTCTCACACAAAAAAATTCAACAAGACTGAATATTTAATAAAGATAGTGCTC